CACACTAATGCTTATTATGTACTATTTTACGTGTGCTTTCTTTTACCCTACCAGTATGCCTTAGCGAATGAAATAGATCATTCTACTGCTTAAGCAGTTAAATTCTTCCAATCGAAAAAATCATAAACATTCGACGAAGTGCTAAAATCTGACCGTAGTAATGAAAAACTGCGATCCGTTTGTGTCCTTTCCTGCGTTCGCCATGCTCAACCATCCAGCACCATAATGCTTCAAATTGAAATTTTCATCGCCAAAACGTTCGCCATAAATGCTTTTGCCTCCCGTGCCATCATGATTTGTAAAATCGCCACCTAAGCAAATATTCACAGTGTGTTCTCCAAACATTTTTCACAAAACAGGCTGTTTAAAAAAAAAGACGGTTAAAAAACTAAAACTTGGAGAAGAGATAAAAAGACAACCTTGTATCATGAAATCTTTGATAACTCGATGAAACATGGACCCCTTATAGCCGAAGCCTTTCTCTCCGGTCGCCAGCGCGCGAAAGTTTTCTGCCGTTTTTGGCACATCATCGCCAAAAAGACCAATTACTATTCGACCAATCTGCAAATAAAATCAGGCTTGCCGGTGCAATCAATTTTTACTCTAGGCTTGCAGCGGTCAAGTAGTTGACAGTAGATCTGGCTTTTGCATTGTGGTTTAATGCGGCTATTCATGTTGGTTGTATTTTCGCTTTTTTGTGCATATTGGGGAAAAGGATATTGGCTAGAACAGCAGTATCACATCACTGGGCCGTGTGGACTTCCAAGGTGCTAGATTTTCAATTTCGCGCGAAGCCTGGCCATTTTCTTGGTGTTTGATGGCTCACCGAAAAATGCAAATTTCACAATGCACAGAATGCGGGAAGAGGACTAAGAAATCCACAAAATGAACACATTTTTGAGTTTGCGATAGCATTGATTATTAGTCATGCCCGTATGCAGGGAAATTCGCCTCTAAGCTGAATTAAGACCATATATAACTGCTTGTTCGGCTTCTTTCAGTTTCGCAGCTTGCCCGGCTTCTTCGCTACAAATATCTTTGACGCGACCTAAACCGTGGCCCAAACGCAATTCGAAATTCCACTTAGATATACAATTTCCTAGGTGGGCGATAAACATTCAAAAAAAATTTCAGCTACTGTTTTCCGAGTAGTTTACGAGTTGGCACAGTGCCAACTAGAAATTCGACGTGACAGCAACAGTTAAATTTGAAATCCTTAGCTCAGAGAATATCCCTGAGGTTTTACTATTTCCGAGATCTCTTCCCGCCAAAAAATCTGCGTATTTTTTTGCGAATGTATGTATGTCTCAAGCGTACGTGAATGATAATACTAAAATGGGAGATCGCACAGGAGGTGGGCACATGCGCCAGAAGTTTCAGTTTCTTATCTTTTCTGGTTCTCAAGTTGAAAGTCGGTGACAAAAAGTGCAAATATACGGGCACACGCACAGCCTCTTGCCAATGTGCACTTTTGCATTTGCAAATATGCAAAAACGCATCCAAACCGAGCACTGGTCAAACCCAAAAGTATTTTTTTCATTTCCATCCTCCGCACAGAGAAACAAGCCAAATACAACTTTTCGTGCTTAACTGCAGTTCCATTTCACTATTTCTGCAAAATCTGAGAACATATGTCATGCTAGCACTAACACACTGAACAAGTGAAATGTACTACTATGCAGCTGGCATAGCTACCCCGGTGTGTAACAGTGTATATCAGTAATATCTGACCTCCGTATCGATTGTCCAAATAATCTTGGTAAAAATCCGGTTTTAGATAAGCCGGGAGCTGCTTTAGACTGTTCACATGTCAGCTTGCTGGATCCGCAAATGACATCTCTTAAGCATGCATTCAATAAAGAAATGCACGAATAATACAAAATTTTCTTTCCCTTTCTGGCGGGCCACATTCCTGTCCGGACTTGTTTTGCAAATTATCATCTGC